GCTTGCGGACTGATAGGTGCCCGGCCGGACTGATAGGAAGGCGCACACTGAGTGTGCACTTCCTGTCAGTCCGGCCGGTTACAGGAAACAGAAATTCCTGTTCCGCGCGGAGTTTCTGTTTCCTGTAACTGGCCGGACTGACAGGAAGTGCACACTCAGCGTCAGGGGTGGGCTGGGCCGGGGGGCAGGGAGGCAATTGCCCCCCAGGCCACCCTAAATTCTGTTGGGACCGTCCCCTGCAGGGCCGGCCCTTTAAATGCTGCAGCCGCCTGAGCGCTCTGTTAAGAGCCTTAGGCGGCTGCGGCTGCTCCTCCCCTGCCCTCCCCTGTAACGTGGCCGAGCTGCTTGCTGGTCCGCGGTGCCCGGCCGAACTGATAGGAAGGCGCACACTGAGTGTGCACTTCCTGTCAGTCCGGCCGGTTACAGGAAACAGAAATTCCTGTTCCGCGCGGAGTTTCTGTTTCCTGTAACCGGCCGGACTGACAGGAAGTGCACACTCAGTGTGCACCTTCCTATCATTTCGGCCAGGCACCGCGGACAGAAGAGCAGCTCGGCCATGCTACAGGGGAGGGCAAGGGAGGAGCAGCTGCAGCCGCCTGAGGCTCTTCACAGAGCGCTCAGGCGGCTGCAGCATTTAAAGGGCCGGCCCTGTAGCGGCCGGTCCTAACAGAATTTAGGGTGTGGGGCGCTAAAGTAATAGGGACGGGGCATACTATAGTATTAGGAATACAGTTTTGTATTCCTAACGCTATAGTGTTTCTTTAACAATAAAACATTTGTGAATTGTGAAAAATAAAATTAAAGGGGCACTTAGGACCCCTAAAGTACTTTAGGTTGCTGCTTTATGTGTGAAGAGTTATCCTCTCTTTTTCATTTTATAAAAAACTGCAGAGCTCAATAGAAATTGCCACTTTTATAAATGATAAATTAACCTTGTTACGCCCCCCCGGATTTCAAGCAGACAGCAGTATGTTACTTCCTGCTTTGGTTAGCTTAGGCAGCAATTGCACAGAAGACTTGCATTGCAAAGACTTCTCACTGAGCCACATTGGGAAGTTCATGATTGGACAGCCACAGAGATTCTGGGCAGAGTTAGAAGGGGAGGGCTTGCAAAGACTGCAGACAAAAGAACTTGGCAAACTGTTTTTAGCTATAACCCAATGAAAAAAAAAAAGCAAAAATAAATGCATGCATGTTATCGTTCAGGGTATATCTACTAAATAGTGATTTTATTTTTCTGTATTTGGACATTGAACTGTCCCTTTAAATGTAGAGATGCACACCTTTTTTATCCTGTATTAGGTGCTTTCATTTTAGCTGCCTATCAATCATTATTAAAGGCACCGGGTAGTCAGCATAGAAAAAAAATACAGAGAAGATAAGAACTAAAGCAATGTTTTTATTTCTCCTTTTTGCAATGTGTTCCCTGGCTTTGCCTGGACTAAACTGGATTTTGATGTTATTTGCTAAATCTTTATTGGCATTTTAGAGAAAACAGAAGATCACACAAAATAAGGTTAACACAAATTATAGGAGATGTTTTATTCCGAGATGTAATTTCCAGAAAAGTGACAGTTCCACTTTAAGACCAGTGCAGACAACATTCCGCTGTATCATTTAAAAAGTTACTCTTTTTTTTACGAAACTGCTTTAATATGGCACAGGTAGCCTCACTAATACATGGAAGAAAAAAAAGACAAACACAAATAGCATAAGAACACTTTTTTTTTTTTAATTCTTTATTTTTGTAGTGCTAAGATGGGTAACAAGCATATAATGACAGTTAGTGCGAAAATAAAAATATAATGAGATTAATATCTGGATTATCAACATATGTCAGCGGTAGAGCACCTTTCATGTTTATAACATGAGACACATTGGGGAAAACTGTACATCACGCAGTAGTGCTAGGGAGTGTTGTGATAATAAAGCAATTACAGGCTAAACAGGCTAGGGGTTATCACGATATATACATATGTACGTTTACCACCGAGAGCCAGCCGCAAGATGATATGTCTCAAGGGAAATAGCAGTTAGCGTAGCGTAGCTGCCCTATTGTAGCTCGGCAAATGAGCCATACCAAGGCATGAAAGAGTATACTTAGTGGCAGGTGGGTGATAGTGAGGATTGGTTTCTAGGATCCCTATTGCGGGTGGTTATAGTTTATAGCGGTGATCTGCCAGCAGTAATGGGCTGCGTTGCGCTTATTTTCAGCAGAAGTGCAGTTGAGCCCAAGGGAGAATTAAGTAAGCTCCATATCCCCGGAGCTTAAGGGGGGTTGCGTTTGAGGAGTGATTGCTAGTATTATCGCATTGCGCAGAGGTGTGAATGACCTATATAGGTCTGAGAGTACCGGAGGACTTATCTAAGGGAGAGTAGGTCGGAACGTAAAAACATCAATAAAACAAAATGCAAAGGTACAACGTTACATAATGCATGTATAACTGTGGACTGTAGGTCAACAAAAGGAAAGTCCTTCAGTTAGGCGCATCATCCTGGGGCCATTGAGCAGGCAGGTGTAAAGACCGCTACATTGTCGACATCCCACTTGTGTGTTGATCCGTTCGGCCTGGCAGTGGTGGTAGTAGTCAGTCCCAGGGAGTGCAGAAAGTCGTTGGTGTTGGACACTGAGGTAAGTCTGTACCTTTTGCCATTCCTCTCTACCACCAATGCCCTTGGGGTCCCCCACCTATATTGGATGTCTGCTGTTCGCAGTTGCGAGGTCACCTCCTTCAATTTGGCACGCCACTGCAGTGCACTGTGGACCTGCTGAGGTCTTGAAAGAAGCACTGTTCAAAGATAAATGGAGACTGGCCTTTAATTTGTGCCATAAATGTGTCCTTGTCAGTTCGTGACCGAAAGCATATTATGACATCCCTTGATCCCGAGGGTTTGTTAGTGAGGCTCCCTTGGAGGCGGTATACCCCATCTACCTTTAGCCTGTTTGGGTGTCAGAGTAGTGGAGAGTAATCTCCTGATGTACTGTTCCCACAGTACATCAGGAGATTACTCTCCACTACTCTGACACTCTCCAGCATCGATGGCGTTTGGGATCCCTCTGATTTTGAGGTTGCGCTGTCTTGCTGTATCTTCCATCTGTCCCACTTTTGCCGTCAGCTCTGCACACATAAGGGTTACCCCCTGCAGCTGGGCTGTAGTGATGTCCTGTTTGACTTCGAGGCCGCGGATATTTTCCTCCGTGGATTGTATCCTGCCTGCTAGAGTTGTTTTCAGGACCGCCATTTCAGAGGCTATGTAGGCCTTAAGCTCTGTCACCATCGCGGTTATATCTGTTTTTGTGGCCAGTTGCAGGTTGGGCTGCCGCTAGGGGACCACTCTGCCACTTCGAGTGTGTGGCCGAGTCTCCTCCGGTTCTGGATCTTTCTCCTCGGAGGCCAACGTGGATCCGCGTGGTGTCTCTGCCATCCGATCCGCCATTTTAGGCCTGGGTGTCGTGTAGCTCTCACCCGAACCCCGAGATTTGCGGGAGTGTTTGCCTATGTTCTCCTGCTCCAGTTGGTGTTTTCAGAGTGCAGACCCGTTGTCCTGATTAGGGTAAATTGGGGTTTCAGGATTTTTCAGTATTGGAGCTCAGGGTGCATGCGACCGCTCCGTTAGCTAGTTGGCTCCTCCCCCCCATAAGAACACATTTTGTGTATCTGCTGCACTTACTCATAAGTGGTTCTTAAAGCGTACATGCTCCCGCTAAACGAGCTGATCATTGCAAAAACCCTTCAGCAGTCTAGAAACATTGTATTTTTTTAATTCTGACTGAGATAAGATATGTATAGCATATCAGCTCCAAAACTTTTTATTCACTCAATATATACCGGTAAATGAGGAGCAGATAAACGAATAATTAAATAAATAAAATTTACATAGTTTCAATTTATTATATGTACCAGAATAGCAATGTATTAAATATTTCTGTTTTCTCCTAAATGTACCTGCTAACTTCGTTTCAAATAAATCTCATATTGAAAACAAACAGTGCTCGGAAGAGAAGGGGTTACTTGGCTCAGATTACTAAAAAGAAATGCTAAATCTTATTTAACAGAAGTCACTGAGCCAGGTTTGAGGCTACAACATATTGGTAAAGTACATCATTATAGATGGATAGAAATAGAAATAGATTTCCTTAGTAGAGTGTTATTAGATAAAGTGCTCTAAACACAAAATATTACTATAATGATTTTTATTTAGAAGTTACAGTTGTGAAAAAATTAAATCTCACATCTATATTTCTGTACTGGCACTTGCATAAATTAAAATAAAAACTCCACACTCGTGGCACTGTCACTTTAACAGCAGTCTTTCCATCAGCTCGTTATTATCTCATAATTCTGTTTTGAAGTTGAACATGGTGAGAGGTTATGCAGGGGCTATGCTGTATCCTTCTGATGTTGCTGATGACATGTTATAATGACCTTTGCTGCTCATGTGACACGGCGCAGGTGGTAGGGAATATATGAAATTGCACACATTCTTGAAGAACTGAGCTGCATGTATTGTGTGAAATAACCTACTGAAAGCAACAATTCTACAATTTTTTTGTCATCAAAATATTTAGAGGTGAATTTGACTTTGTAATTTCACTTGCTTTTTGTTGTGAAGCAGGCTGATTTGTTTTAGCATTTGAACAGATAATTAGAACGCATTTATGAATATACCTTCAATGTTTAAAATAGTAAAACATTATCACTTTTACTAAGGAACTGGCTTAGCCAGTAAAGTACTTGGGAAAATGAGACTTGCTTTCTGTTTATTAAGCTAGTCGGTCAATGTAAAGTATTCCCCTACAACCACTATCCAATATAAGTGTACACAAATCAGCCACAACATTAAAACCATGTGCCTAATAGCATGTAGGCCCTCCTCGTGCTGCCAAAACAACTCTAATTTGTTGAAGCATGGACTCCACAAGACATCTGAACCAAGACATTAGCAGCAGATCCTTTAAGTCCTGCAAGTTGCGAGGTGGGACCTCCATGGAACGGATTTGTTGTTCCAGCATATTCCATAGATATTGCCATCTCTTCCCTAGGTAAATGAAGCACACACACCCAGGCATCCACTTGAAAAAAAACCAAGATTGATCAGAACACACAACCTTGTTCCATTGTTCCATGGACCAGTTCTGGTGCTCATGTCCCCATTGAAGGCACTCTGACCTGTCTGCAGCCCTATTCTCAGAAAACTGTGATGCACTGTGTGGTCTGACAGCTTTCTGTCATGGTCAGCATTACGTTTTTCATAAATTTTTGACCTGCAGTAGCTTTTCTGTATTATCAAACCAGAAATGCTAGCCATTGGGTGCCCATGACCCTGACACCGAGTCACAGGTTGTCCTTCCTGTCGTGAATGACCAAACTATAGAAATGATGTATGCATAAACATATAAACTCTGGTCTGTCTACTTTAACAAATATTTATTCATAGGCAAAACAACAACATACAAATATTGACACTCAATCTAATTAACTAAAACAACAATAACCACAACCAACTAACTAAGTAACTAAGTAACTAACTAACTAACTAATGCTTACTAAAAATAACAACTAAACTGTATGAAGTCATCAGATCCCACTCACAGTTCACCATGATACAAATTAGCCCAAGTCTGCTCACATGTCTGCTCACTAGCACAGCCAAAAAAAGGAAGATGGAAGCAACAGGCTGATTTCCTGCAAGTGCAAGCCTTCTTGCCCGCTGACTCCTGCAGCCGTATCACGTGGGCCGCAGCATGCAGGGGAAGAGAGGTGTGCCCTGTCTGACCTTTGTCCCGCCTCCCCTCCAACAGGCATTCTGTGTAGGATGTGTAATGTGTCCCACACACTGCTCCAGAATCCACTCAGGGTGTCTGAACCCTGGGAGATCCATCCTGGTGTATCTGGGAGTAGTGTGGGGAACAACTGGTTGAGTGGGCAAACCAGCATAGAGTCCCAGCCACAAAGGGGGACACCTACTTACCTAAGGGGGCTATCCACTTAAATGTGAAGGCTCCCATTGTCTCTTCCCTATTTAAACCCAGACCAACCTTGGATCTTTGCTCAGTTGTCTTGTGAACTCCTAGAGCAGGCATGGGCAACCTTCGGCGCACCAGATATTTTGGATTACACCTCACATGATGCTTTGTCAGCATTATGGGTGTAAGAGCATTATGAGGGATGTAGTCCACAACATCTGGAGTGCTGAAGGTTGCCTATCCCTGTCCTAGAGGTTACAAGCCTCCTTTGCCTGGATTCCTGGAATAACCCTTGCTTGCCTGATTAACATCTTGCCTGGCTGATCCTGCCTTGGTTGCTGTGACTTTACTACTAACCTTGATAATTAGGCCATTGTAGCTCAGTTGGTGTCAATTTGCCAGGCCAGTCCTGCATTTTGGGGTACAGTCCTTTCAAAACCATTTCCAAGAGTCCTATCCCGCATTCTGAAAATCTCCTGGACAGAGGGAATGAACTGGTGTAAACTCACCCCTTTCATCAGCACACACACCCCTTGAAGGTTCTGGGCAGCCTGTTCTCTTGCCTGTCTACTTCAGTCCCGGAATATGGACAGGTAAAAGTGCAGGTATAAATTTAGCTGATTTGGAGATTTATTTCAACTATATGATTTTGGCATATGCTTTTCAAGTCAACTGTCAGCTCTCTACAGCTATTTAATTAACATATTTATATATTATTGATTTAATTGGGACAGGTAGGAGCACTTGTTACGCACAGAAAACTTTCACTATTTACACCAAAATTTCCCATAATATTTTATTGAGCACATTTTTGTTCTACTGACTGTTGTGGATCTAGGAAATTACTTTTTATGTGCAGGGAATATCTCTTTGATTGTGGTAATATATGCAAAATATAGATCAATCCTACGCCACTTACTGAATGCTGCCAAATCCCTGATCCCCGTCTATTGGAAGAGATCAGAAGTGCCCACTACGGAGGAATGGCTCCATAGGGTCGGAGACATACAGGCGGCGGAGGCGCTACAGGCATCCCTGGTGGGACGTTCGACAAGACACGCAGAGACGTGGCAACCCTGGTTTTCGTACCAGGGGGGTAGATAGTGGGCCCACACCACGCACATCGGGAGCGGAGGGCTGGACGGTAGATCCCAGACCCATCCCTTTACTGACCACAACCTCCCTCTGGGACACCTCACCTCGGTAGGAGACAAAGCTCATGGAATCACACATTCCCTCGCCGGCGCAGGTCTTCTACAGAACACAGGCACGCACACACTAGACGACCGATAATACGGCGTCACATAACCCCATTCAAGGTCCGCAAGACCGGTTAACACACACCATGTACCCCAACATAGGCTACGGGATACAGCATACAGACAGGCGACCAGAGGACCAACACCCAAAAGGGAAGACCCAACACAAAACACTAGGCCAGATTCACGACATTCCCATAGCGGATGATAGTAACTCGGCAGCGGACTAGATTGCATTCCCTTGTATACACATCACAAGCCACTACAACAGAACCTGACAAGGCCCGAACACTACGGACCAATACATAATTCACTCCACTTAGACATGGAAGCGGAAACCAGGGAAGGACTCTTCTATACCTACATAGCCTTTCTCCTTCTTTCTTTTCTTCTCTTTACAACAATTACCTCTCCCCGCTAAACTCACCCATGACTTGGGAACATAAGCACCATACTTGATGAATAAAAGCGGTATATATATACACACAGGAGGTCATGCAACAAACATGGAACGTAAACCACGTATACACGCAAGATTACGGCCTGAACCTGACAATTGGGAAAACACTCTCATGCCATATTTGAAAACACTGCATATACACCATTCATGCCTTATACCACTATAATTAAGCATTGCCTCAAAGTCATATAAACCGTACACTGAAATAGATTAACAAATAACATGTGTTATGACATGTCACAATGGTTTCCATGGAGGCCTGCGAGCCTCATTGTTTGGTTTCAGAGAAACTGCTATGTTTATAAATGGGTTAATCCAGCCCTCAAATCCTCTAGTGGCTGTCTCATTGACAGCCGCTAGAGGCGCTTGCGTGATTCTCACTGTGAAAATCACAGTGAGAGCACGCAAGCGTCCATAGGAAAGCATTATGAATGCTTTCCTATGAGACTGGCTGAATGCGCGCGCAGCTCTTGCCGCGCGTGCACATTCAGTCGAATGGGAGGAGAGGAGGAGGATCGGAGGAGAAGAGCTCCCCACCCAGCGCTGGAGAAAGGTAAGTTTTAACCACTTTCATTTCCCCAGAGCCGGGCGG